CCAAACCGAAACAAAATAAAAATTCAACTGTAGAACACTCATCTGGTGTCATAAAATTGGTGACGGGGGGGGGAGGGGAAAGATGGCTCGGTGGCAGTGTCCGGATTACATTCAACTATAGGCCAGGCTGACTCACAAATATCTGTGATCCCAAACTTTGAAGGACAGAATCAGGAAGTGAGTTCCAGGCGACCCAAAGCTTCAAAGCAATAATATGTCTCAAAAAACAACCGAAACAAAATAAAAATTCAATTGTAGAACATTCATCTGGTGTCATAAAATTGGTGACTGGGGGAGGGAAAGATGGCTCGGTGGCTAAGAGCATTTGCTGCTCTTGAGGAAGATCCAGGTTCTGCTCCCAGCACCCATATCTCTTCTCCAGTCCCAGGAGATCTAATGCCCTCTGATGGCCCCTCAAAGGCACCAGGAACACACATGACGTATATACATACATAAGAACTACACACTCATTACACACTCATGCACATAAAGATAAACAAATCATTTTTAAAAAGTTTCTGGGCCGGGCGGTGGTGGCGCACGCCTTTAATCCCAGCACTCGGGAGGCAGAGGCAGGCGGATCTCTGTGAGTTCAAGGCCAGCCTGGTCTACAAGAGCTAGTTCCAGGACAGGGACCCTCCAAAATCACAGAGAAACCCTGTCTCGAAAAACCAAAATAATAATAATAATAATAATAATAATAATAATAATAATAATAAAGTTTCTGTTGGCTGCAGTAAGCACAGGGCTTTTACAAGTTCTGTGAGGGAGAACCACAGAAACATTGAAGGGTATCCAGGTGAGACAAAGGCAGCTCAGAGACCTTGTGCCTGAGTCTGGTGTCTGGAGTGAGTGCAGCCTTGTGGGAGAGGATGCACCCCACTGTGAAATTCTACTCGGTTCCAGGCAGTTGGTGATAGAGGCCTGCATAGGACATTTTCAGCCATGCAAGGAAAAAGGCATGGATCCATGCTACCACATGCGTAAACACGGACATTGGTATGGTACTTGAAAGAAACCAGACTCAAAAGATGATGGGGTGTATGATCTTGTGTATACCATGTCTAATCTAATCTGTAGAAATAAAAAGCAGATAAGGGGTCTAAGGTTGGAGGGTTGAGGTTAAGCTGGGTGCAATGGGATTAGGGAGCTGGTAGATTCCTTCGTGTGATGGAGATGTTCAAGTTAACTGTGGCGAGATAGTTAACATATCTGAGAATATACTGATAGCCAGTGAATTAAACTTCATAAGATAAATAGTAAGCTAGGCATAGCAGTGCACACTTAAACTCAATCTCAGTGTTAGGGTGGAATATCGCAAATTCAAGGCCAGCCTGGGCTACATTCTGAGACTCTATTTACGAAGGATATGAAGAGGAATGGCTTCAGTGACTTGCTATGCAGGCATGAGTTTGGAGCCCTCATCCCCACATAAAAAGCTGACCACAACAGCATATGCCTTTAAAAACCAAAGCTAGGGAGTCAGAGACACGAAAGTCTCTGGGGCTTGTTGAGATCGTCAAATTCATGAGCTCGAGGTTCAGTAAGAGACTGTTTCAAAAGTAAATAAAGCCAGGTGTGGTGCCACACGCCTTTAATCTCAGCACTCAGAGGACATAGACAGACTGATCAGTGAATCTGAGACCAGCCTGGTCTATGTAGTGAGTTCTGAGCTAGCCAGTTCTGGGCTATACGGAAAGACTGTGGTAGTTTGAATGTGATTGACCCCCCAAAGGCTCATATAGTGAATGCTGGTTTCCCAGTTGGTGGACTTGGAAGTGTGGCCTTGTTGAAGGAGGTGTGTCACTGGGAGGAGGCACCTTGCCGCTCTCACCATGATGATGGACTAACCCTCAGAAACCATGTTTTCTTTTGTTTTATGAGTTGCCACGGTGGTGTCTCTTCACAGCGGTAGAGCACTAAGACATCCTATCTCAAAATAAATGAAATAAATAAATAGATGAGCCAGGCATGGTGGTTTATGACTTTAATCCCGGTCCTCAGAAGGTAGAGTCAGGCAGATATTTGTAAATTTAAGGCCAACCTGATCTACATAGTGAGCTCTGGGCCAGTCAAGGCTCAATTCAATGCTATCTCTAAACAAACAAACAAATATTTAAATAACTCTCTGGGGCAGCTTAAAAAATGCACTCTATAGGCTCATTCATATATCTGTCCTAGAACTAGCTCTTGTAGACCAGGCTGGTCTCGAACTCACAGAGATCCGCCTGCCTCTGCCTCCCGAGTGCTGGGATTAAAGGTGTACACTACCACCACACGGCTAGGCTCATACATTTGAAGCACTTGCTCCCTGATCAGTGATGTTGTTTAGGGAGGTTATGAAACCTTTAGGAAACAGAGCGTTGCTTGAGGAAGGATGCTGCTGGGGGTAAGATCTGAAGGATTAAAGCCTTGCACCACTTCCAGTTCTCTATTTTTGTTTCCTGTATACGGAAGAAATGTGATCAGCCGGCTTCCCACTCATTTTTTTTTTTTCCGGGACAGGGTTTCTCTGTGTAGCCCTGGCTGTCCTAGCGCCTGCTTTGTAGACCAGGCTGGCCTCGAACTTGCAGAGATCTGTCTGAATTAAAGGTGTATGCCACCACTGCGGGGGCCTTCCCACTCTTGTAGCCATCCCATCCTCACCTGTCCCCCGCCCCCACCCCCCACCCCTGCCCCCACTGGACTCTAGCCCTCTGCAATCATAAGCCAAATATCTTCTTTCAGTTGTTTCTGGTCATGGTGTTTTATTACAGTAAGAGAGAAGAGAAAAGCTAATATAGTAACTAATACAAAAATAAATAAAAAGGGGGTGCGCCCGGGCCAGGCTGGGGGCCGCAGGCTGGCGTTGATGTGGGCCGGCCATCCTTAGGCATTTCTCATGATCCGGCGCCACAAGACCACCATCTTCACGGACGCCATGAGTCGAGTACCGTGTTCAAGCTGCAGCGCATCGTTGAGGGCATCCTCAAGCGGCCGCCCGATGAGCAGCAGCTGTACAAGGATGACCAGCTCCTGGACGAAGGAACAACTCTGGGCGAGTGTGGCTTCACTAGCCAGACAGCAGGGCCACAGCCCCAGCCACAGTGGGCAAGGATGATGCCTTTGAAGCACTGCACATCGAGCCTTTCTCCAGCTCTCCAGGGCGTCCAGATGTGATGAAGCCACAGGACTCTGGAGGCAGTGACGATGAACAAGCTGTGCAGCGAGGGCCCCAGGCCCACCCCCGCCCCAAGACCCATTCCCTCAGTAAAGAAGATTTGACTGTCAAATAAATAAATAAATAAAAAGATGAAGAAGCAATCAAGGAAAACACCTGCCATCAGCTTCTGGCCTCCACACACCACCCCATACACATACACAGAGGAGGATAAGTTATATGTCATAAGAATTTTATCGTCTCAAAAGGCTGATATTAAAATAGATAATGTCTATCTCTCAGAAATGCACACAGTAACCTGGCACCGTAGCTGTGCCTGTAACCTGAGCGCTTGGGAGTGGCGGCAGCTGTAGGATCAGGTGTAGCAGGCGTTCCTGGAGAGCTCAGCAGCTGGTTTGATGCCAGAGAATCAGCATCCGGCTTTGACCTGCCTTTCCTGACTGCTACCTTCGGTTTCAAATATGCAGATCTTATCTGAGAGTTTCCTAAAGGTTCAAAGCCTGTGCAAAACGTGGTAGTGGGAAGACTCAGAAAAAGGAGATGTGCCGTGACTGGGGTCCCGTGGGCATTTGTCTCTTTGGGGAGCTTCTGAGAAGAGGTTTTGGTGTGCAGAAACTGACTTGCGAAGGTGTAAACTGTATAACCATAAAAAAGCCTTTGCGAAGCTACAGCCACTCAGTTCACCAGAAACTGAATCCCCTGTTGGGGGGCTGTGAACCCAGACCCCGAATTTCCTGTAAACAAAACAGTTTGTTAGGCTTGCAGCTGCTCTGAACAACTTGTGTTGGGCCCTAAAGCCCCACCAAGGAGGAGGTCGCCCCAAGAGACACAGCACGGTTGATGCAATAGCAAGAGGAATTTTTATTCTGCCACGGCAGAAGTCCCTCAGCCTCGAGAGAAGGACCCTGCTTTGTCTATTACAAGCTTTTTTAAAGTAAAAAAAAAAAAACACACACACACAAAATCAGGGAGGGGGTGGTACAGAATCAAAGGGAAAGTCCAAAAATCATTTGTCAACTATTTTGACTAGTTCATACAATGGTCAGCTAACTCTACTTGATCACTGTTATGGCGATTACAAGGAGGAACACCTGCAGGTCGTCTCACCCCAGTTCCAGGGTCCGGGTCTATTGAAGAAAGACTACAATGGGGATGGAAAGTACTCAGAGCTCCCGTGCACGCGTGGTGGGTTACCAGGGTCCTGGTTCCCAGGAAGGGGGTGCAGTAGTGCTAAGGTGCCTCCTAATGCTAAAGGCCTGGTTCCCAGGATGGGAGGTGCAGTAGTGCTAAGGTGCCTCCTAATGCTAAAGGCCTGGTTCCAGGATGGGAGGTGCAGTAGTGCTAAGGTGTCTCCTAATGCTAGAGGCCTGGTTCCCAGGAAGGGGGGTGCAGTAGTGCTAAGGTGCCTCAAAGTCTTTCATTTGTCTTTCCTGTGTTTGTAGCTGCTCTGAGCATGAGAACCCCAGGAGTTCCTGATGGTGGGCGGAGTGGTTTCTTGGGAGTTTGGCTGGGGTGTGACTATCAGTTAAGGAGGCGGCCCTGGTACACAATAAAGGGGGCATTCTTGTTTCAAGGATGACTCATGTCTCTGTCTGTGTGTCTTTGTGTGTTTAAATCTCCAGGTCCTTGTCTGGAATGGTCCTGTAGTGCAGGCTCCGCACTGCAGGCGCAGTACCGTAGTACACTTAGTACTACAGTCGGTGCAATCCCCTGCATCTGCAAAGCCTAAAAATTATCCTAGGGTAACCCCTGTTCTTCCATGGACCCGCGTAAAACGAACACCCAACACAACAATCAGGAGTTCAGGGCCAGCCTCAGCTATATAGTCAGGCCAACCTGGGCTACATAAAACACCGTCCCCAAAAAAGAAAAAAATGAGAAATATATAGTAAAATAGTTATGAAGCAGGGCATTAATGAATCTTTTTTTTTTTTTAAAGTGGGGAGAGGAACCAAAGGAATAAGAATGGCCAAAAGTTGGTAAATGACGAAGCTGGTCACTTGAGGGTTCACTATACTCCTTTTCCCACCACTGTGCTATGTCCTAACGTTTTCAGAAAGGGGGGGGATAACCCCCGAAGAGAAGCGAGTGTCACTTCCTTCGAGAGGTAACCTGTCCAGAGCCACTGGCCACCCCACCCACAGATGAGGGGCATGAATTATTAAGGGGAATTTGAGAGGCTCCATAGCCATGGAGTCTGGAAAGGTGGTGAGCACAGGGGCTGCTACGGGCCAGGCAGCTCTGTGCCCTCAAGGGGCTCACACCATCTCTCTCATCCCACCCGCCACACTGATTGTGGTGGTAGAAGTGGAGCAGGGTCAAGGATCAAGTAAGAAGCTTTGGGGGTTTGAGGGTGTAGCTCAGTTGGTGCTTGCCTAGCGCAAGTGTGCCCATGCATGAATCTGGGTTGGATTTACCAGCGCTGTGGCTCTTCCCTGTAATCTCATTATTGGGAAGATGAGGAAGGAGGATCAGAAGTTCCTCCTCCCAACTGGAACACTACTACACAAGAGGTCTGTCCTTGGTTTGAGTTGGCTCGTAGAAGCAGGAGAACAAGCATGAGTTCAAGCTAATCAGAGGCCAGCATGGTGTGCACCCCTGGACACCCAGCACTTACAAAGTAGGGGTAGGGGATCAGGATTTTAATGCAAGCCTCAGCTCCATGAAACGCTTATCTCAACACCACTTATACCTGCCCGACAAAAGGAACAAAGGTTAGACTTCATACCTGATTCTTTCCTAGTGTTGAAGACCTTTGGACCACATTGTAAACTGAGAAGAGACAAACAAACCTGTAGAAAAACAGCTTTAGAACATCTTGTTCTGTGACTAGCAAGAAGTACTTGTACCAAACAATACAGCTGGTCGTATCTTCCTAGAGGACCCTGTCCAGGGGTGAGGACTGTGATGATGTTGCAATTTCCATTTACCCACAGTGATCTGGCAACTGACCACAGGCTAGATCTTTCACATTCACTCTCTACTTTAGGAAATGAATGTGGAAATTCAAGTGTGTTAATACCACATCCAATAAAGGTCATAAAGCCCAGCATAGTGGCCTGTGCCTGAAAGTTCCTCCTAAGGTAGAAAGATCACTTGAGCCAAGGAGCTCAATACCAATCTGAACAAAATAAGAAATCCTTCATATCAAAACTTGTGTAAAAAAGAAGAAGAAGAAGAAGAAAGCACTGGGAATATAGTTCAGTGGTAGAATACTTGCCTAGTATATAAGAGGTCCTAGGTTTGATTCCCTAAACTACATTGAAAAGAAAAAAAGAAGGCAGGGCGAGAGTCAGGGCTAAGCCAGCTCAGGCTGGAGGTGGGGGGCAAGGGCAAGACTTGGGAGCCCCAGAGCTCATCTTCTCTCAAGAAAACCTACATGAAGCCTACCCCTCCCAGGCCTTAAGGAGAACCAAGGCCCTACACTTGTATTGGAGGGATCCAAGAACCTTCGCCTTCTCCAGCCAGGCACTCTGGAGCCTCAGGTAGATGGTGTGGGATGAGGGGAGCAGAGGAAGCTGAAAATGCCGCTACTGACACCGCTTGTGTCCGTAGGAACACTGCTTCGTCTTTGACAGAGTTCTGGGTCCTGGTGCTGCTCAGGTATGGGGTTCTGAGAAAGGGGCGGGAGGAGAAGGAAAGCTCGCAGTCCTCTGCATCCTGGGATTCTGACTGGTCCAGTCCTTTTGCTCAGAGCAGGCTGTAACAAGTCCCCTGACACAGAGGGGCGTGCCTGTGTGTTCCTACAGGAAGCAGAGCAGGAGCTGTTGACACAAATTCAGCCTATGCTGGCCTCCGTGGGACAAGGGTACGATACAACCCTGCTGCTCCGGGGCCGGGAAACAGAGGCACCCCGGTTTGTGACTCAGGTGAGGAGCCACCCGCACACAGGTATCCTGATGTTCAAATATGAGTTGGGAAATCTGCCTGCTCACTCCAGCCGGACTAGGGACAGCTCAGGTCGCCCATGCACCCTGTGGTGCACCTGTCTCGTTTTACCAAGGCCACTTTATGCAGACGAGAAGTCAAGAAAGATGGAAAGCTGTGGCTCACACGAATGAGAGCATCGGGGAGAAGTGACACACAGATCAAATCCCCAGGACATCTCACTCCCCCGCTTCTTGGTAACACCGCCAATACGACGTTAAAATCTTTACTCTGAAGGTTTCATCAAAGGACCTTCACATCAAAACAGCTGCCTCAGAACCTTACCACAACCCTGCCCAGCACCGGGAAGGCCTGCTGAAGAAGCCCGCTTCTTGGTCTGTCGGCCTTCAGGGGAGGAGGGGGCTGTTCTGTTCTGCCCATCAAGTATCCAGGACCAGGGCCTGTGGCAGACTTCAGTTTCCAGAAGTGCTGAAAGGCAGAATGATGCCCTCTTTTTTTTTTTCTCTTTTTCTTTTTTTAGTTTTTCGAGACAGGGTTTCAGGGTTTCTCTGTACCTTTGGAGCCTGCCCTGGCACTAGCTCTTGTAGACCAGGCTGGCCTAGAACTCACAGAGATCTGCCTGCCTCTGCCTCCTGAGTGCTGGGATTAAAGGCGTGCGCCACCACCGCCCAGCAATGCCCTCTTTTTTGTTTGTTTTTTTTTTTTTTTTTGTTTGTTTGCTTGTTTTTCGAGGCAGGGTTTCTCTGTACCTTTGGAGCCTGACCTGGAACTAGCTCTTGTAGACCAGGCTGGACTTGAACTCACAGAGATCCAGATGCCTGCCTCTGCCTCCCGAGTGCTGGGATTAAAGGCGTGCGTCACCACCTACCGGTGAATGATGCCGACTTGTTCTACTGAGCTCCTCTCTCTACTTTAGGTGCTGCAGATGCTGTTTGAGGAGGCTCTGCCTCTCTGCAACTCTGGTCCTGTGCTTTGTACTCTCAGCCTGGTGCAGGTGAGGTCACTGGGAGGGCGGAGCTGGGTGACACCACAGAAACTCCCTGAGGCTTGGAGAATGAGGAAATGGGGAGGGAGATGGGTCCAGCCCTACCCTGCTACTCCAGCTGGGGTCTCCTTTTTTCTTTCTCTTTCTCTCTGTCTCTCTTTTTCTTTTTTTTCCTTCTTATGTATAGTGTTCTCCCTGCATGTATCCCTGCAGGCCAGAAGAGGGCACCAAATCTCATTACGGATGCTTGCTGGGAATTGAACTTAGGCCCTCTGTAAAATCAGCAAGTGCTCTTAACTTCTGAGCCATCTCTCCAGCCCATCTGGGGTCACCCTTATATGCCAACTGTCAGTGGATGACTTTTTTGTTTGTTTTTCAAGACAGCGTTTGTTTGTGTAGCAGCTCTGGCTGTCCTAGAACTAGCTCTTGTAGACCAGGCTGGCCTCAAACTCACAGAGATCCGCCTGCCTCAGCCTCCCAAGTGCTGGGATTAAAGGCGTGTGCCCCCACTGTCCGGCTGCCTGGCTAATTTTTATCTTTACTTAGCCCTAAGGACTTACAGGAGAGAAAAGGCTTGTGACAATTGTCTTTGTGTGATCCCAGATTAGCCTCAGCGGGCAGACTCAGGACCTGCTCTCCCCATGTATGGAGGACCTGCCAGTACTGAATGTGGCTCCTCTGGGCTTGTAAGTATTGGGGCCCTATGTGACAGGGGTGCTTGCCTTAAAGCCACAGTGAAACCTTCCAGATAAACTTTTGATCAAGATAAGCTTCAAGATAGGGAGGTTTCTACTCTGCCATCCCCGGAGAATGAAGCCCTCAGCTTGGAGTCATGTGTACCGGGCCTAGATGGACTCTCGGGATCTCTTCCCCACCCTCTTTCCTTTCTCACATCTGTACATCTTATTCCCTTCATATCAAATAGCTCACAACTCTTGTGCCCACCCTCATGGCCTGAGTCAGCCCAGTATCACAATGAGTGGTTCCAAACACCTCACAGAGCAGATTTTCCATCTTTGAAATGATCCCAACTAACTTGTTTCCCTTCCTGAGAAGACAATAGGAGAAAAAAAAAACAAGGTTATGGTCAGGCGGTGGTGGGTGTACATCTTTAATCCCAGCACTTGAGAAGCAGAAGCAGGCAGATCTCCGTGAGTTCAAGACCAGCCTGGTCTACAGAGCAAGTTCCAGGAAATCTATGACTGTTGTTACACAGAGAAACCCTGTCTCAAAAAAACCAAACAAACAAACAAATAAAAAACCAACCAAGGTCGAGCAGTGGTGGCGCACGCCTTTATCCCAGCACTTGGGAGGCAGAGGCAGGCGGATCTCTGTGAGTTTGAGGCCAGCCTGGTCTACAAGAGCGAGTTCTAGGACAGGCTCCAAAGCTACAGAGAAACCCTGTCTTGAAAAAACAAAACAAAACAAAACATAAACAAACCAACCGAACAAAAACCCAAAAACCAAGGTTAGGAAGACGAGAGACACTTAGGAAAAGTATAATGAGTTCCGAGCCTCTGGGATGATTCTTGAGTCCTTTAGACACTGTCATGGGCTTTGGCACAGAGAAGCTAGAGGTTGTTGTATAGCAGAGGGACTAATGGGCTGTGGTCAACTTCCCCTTCCTTCAGGGTGGTGAAAGATGCCAGAGAGGTAGAGGTGTCTGATGCCCGAGCTGCCTCTGAACTGTACCTGAAGGCTGCCAGGAGTGAAGGCAGGTGAGGATAAGACCCCTCCCCCATCACCCCACCACGCCCCATCCCTATACAGCCCTAGCTCTCATTCCCAAGCTGGCCATGTGCTCTGCAGGGCCTGCTCTCTGCTCACTCTTACCATGTCCCGCCCGGGACCTGAGACCCGGCAAGTGTGTCGAGGTACCTTGAGGATCATGCAGCTTCCAGGAGACCCGTAAGTCTGAGGAGCTCCTGTGCTTGTGTTGGGAGATGAGATGAAGGCCTAAATAGGGATGTGAATTGAAATGCTCAAAACCAAGATTGGAAAATTCCCCAAGTAGCCAGCCCACCGTCAGGCCCCATGCACACCTTCCCCTCAATGATCAAAAATAATGAAAACTGGAGGCTGGAGAGACGGCTCAGTGGTTAAGAGAACTGGCTGCTCTTCCAGAGGTCCTGAGTTCAACTCCCACATGGTGGCTCACAACCGTCTCCAGTGGGATCTGATGCCCTCTTCTGGCATAAAGGCGTGCCTGCACACACGTAAAATAAGTAAAAATAATGAAAACCTCAGGTTATCACAGCAAATGATCATTTCAGGCCAATTTGCAAACTGTGTGGTATCATAGGAATATTTCAAAACTCCTAAGTGTCTGAAAACAAACCAGAAATAAAAGGGGGGATAACCTAAACTTCAGAGTATTCTAAGATTTCCTCTTTCTTGTAGTGTGTAAGTTTTTTTTCTAAAAAAATTCATTTACTTTTATTCATGCGTCTGTGTGTGTTGCCTATATGTGCATCGCATATGCCCAGTGCCTATGAAGCCCCTAGAACTGGAGTTATAGGCAGCTTGAACCACTTGATGTGGATACTGGGAGTTGAATCCATGTCCTCTGCAAGAGCAAGTCCTCTTAATCCCTGTCTGATGGTACTAAAAAGAGAGAATAGACTTGGTTAAGTGATTCTAGCCAGGGTTGGTTCTCCTCATCCACCACAGGGCATCGCCTTTCTTCCCTCCCTCTGGCAGAGCCTGCCCCCTGCTGCGAGTGCTGGCTGGTGAGGCTGCTGGGGAGGAGGAGGGCTCTCTGCCCTGGATTGTGTCCTGGCTCCTGGAGGGAAGCAGCTACAGTAGCCTCCTTCTTCGTCTGGAACCGCAAGGTGGTGAGGGTGGGGTGGGCTTCTTTGGAAAGCTCTGGGATTTGGTGGGATTGCTTCATGTTATTACTCAACCAGCCACAGCCCTATTGTAGCCCAGGGAGAGTGCTTGATTCTGGGAGGGCCAGCATTCAGGAAGGCCCGGCTGCTCTTGATGTGTATATGTAGCCCAGGCTAGCTAAAACTCACCATTTTTCAGTCTTACCTTCCTGAGTATAGGGTTATGGCTGTTTGACACCATATCAGGATCTTTTTTGTTTTTCAAGACAGGATTTCTGTCCTGAACTCACTGTCCTGGAACTCGCTCTGTAGACCAGGCTGGCCTTGAACTCACAGAGATCCACATTCGTCTCTGCCTCCCCAGTGCTGGGATTAAAGGCCCAATTGAGGCTCTTTTTTTTTTATATATTATATATACAATATTCTGTCTACATATATCCCTATAGGCCAGTAGAGGGCACCAGATCTCATTAAAGATGGCTGTGAGCCACCATGTGGTTGCTGGGAATTGAACTCAGGACCTCTGGAAGAACAGTCAGTGCTCTTAACCTCTGAGCCATCTCTCCAGCCCCCATATTGAGGATCTTTATTAAGCCTTTAACACCTTTTCTCTTGACAGGGTCTCACCGTAGCCCAAGCTGGCCTTGAACTCCTGACCCAATTACATTATATTAGGAAAGGACCCCTGAGGAGAAAACACTTTCCTCCTCTCACAGACCCCGAAGGTTGAAGAATGAGGCCCTTGAAGCTGTAATACTAGAGATTTGCAGGAGGTTACAGTGGGGGGGGGGGGGGCACAGAGCAGACAGCAATGGAAGGAAGCTGAGTATGGTGGCAGATACCTGCGATCCTAACACTCAGAGGACTGGGGTTGGAGCGCTGCAAGGCTAGAGGGAGTTCTACAAGCAGATGTTCTCACACAAAAGGCTGGGAAACACCACCACCATGGGATGGTTGGGGAACAGCTTAGTGGAAAACACTCACCTAGCGTGCTTAAGGCCTGGAGCTGACTCCCAGCCTCTGAGGAAAAACAAAGAGTAAAAAAATGTACAGCCCTCTTTCTCACAACCAACAAACATTCCTTTGGCCAGAAGTTCCCAGACCTCCTCTTGTCCCAAGATGGACGGAAGAAGAAGATAAGTTGGAGCATTTCACACTCTTGAGATATCAACCAGAATATAAAACTAACCTGTAGATAAACACCTGTCTGCGGGGAGGGCAGACATACAAGGAGGGGCAGGTGTGTGTTCATCTGCAGGTTGGTTTTCTCTTCTGGTGAACAACATGGGCTTTACATGGTAGATGGATTAGAGTTGCCGTGGATACAAAGATAAATCCAAGAGCAGCCTGAGTACAGGGCCATCAAACACAGTAAAAGTCAAATAGGAGTTACTAGATGATGATGATGGTGGTGGTGGTGGTGGTGGTGATGGTGGTGGTGATGGTGATGGTGATGATGGTGATGATTGTGGTGGTGGTGATGATCGTGGTGGTGGTGGTGGTGGTGGTGATGATGGTGGTGATGGTGATGATGGTGGTGATGGTGATGATGGTGGTGATGGTGATGATGGTGGTGATGGTGGTGATGGTGATGATGGTGGTGGTGGTGGTGGTGATGGTGGTAGTGATGATGATGGTGATGCTGCTGCTACTGCTGAAGATGAAAATGATGCTGGTGGCAAGGATGATATGATTTTGATGTGAAGGTGATAATGATGATTTTGGACTTGAGATTGAACCTAGAACCCTAACACATGCCAGGCAAGTCTACCACTGAGCTCCGTCCCTAGTCTCTCATGCTTTTTATTTTGAGATGGGCTCACTAAGTTGTGAAACCAAGACTTGAACTTGCTATCCTGCCTCAGCCAATTGTAGTAGCTAAGGTGACGTGGCAGGGGTTGGGCATTTTGATAAACAGCCCTTGATCGAAATTTAGAGCGTTGCAGGCCGTGTGTTCTGTGGCTCAGGAAGAGAGTAGTTTACGGTGTTGTCTCTTCCTAGATAGCTCCCTGAGTTTGCTCCAGGCTGCTCTATTGGGGGCCTCAGAAAAGAGGGTACAGGCAAAAGAGGTGAGACCCACCCTGTGGAACCCAGTAGAGGAGACGAGGGCCCGTAGGGCCACCTTGAAGACTCTGCGTTTAGGGCTCCTCGGAGACACCTTGACAGATGCTGGGTTGAACCAAGTAGTACGGACACTCTGGGAACTACAGGTAAGCAAGATGAGACCTGGGCACCTGGGTCAGAAGTGGCCAGTCCCCACTTGAGTGTTTTTCTTCTAGGTGGTAAAAGCCTGGGACCCAAGAAACCTTGCACCCAAAGGGGCTGGAGCTGAGGCTGCGGGGCTCCTAGAACCACAGGTACGTCTTCTCATCCAAACTCTTGAGGGCTCCATATATGTCTGCCTCCCTCTTCTTTGTTTACAGAATATTCTACTTAGTTATTGATTCCCATATATTTATTGACTGTGCATCATATGTTGGGTACAGAGCCATGTTAGCCCTTGGATTTCCCTGCCCCGGTAAAGTTTAGTCTGAGGAGAAATGATTACACTGCCGTGCTCAATGCTCTGAAAGGCTTGGCCACACCTGACTCTATGAGGCATCAATAGAGCCTTGCAAAGAGAGGAAAGCAAGATTTCATAGGAAGTGACTCCCGATCGAGGTTTATAAAGATAGCCAAGAACATTCCGGGCAGAGAGAACCATGCAGAAACAGAATCCAGCAGCTTTGGGAAACTGCAAGCAATTTAATTTGCTGGAGACTGGAGACAGAGAGAGAGTCAGGAATGGACTGGGGATGGAGGCAGAGGCTAGGGCGCACAGGCTTGGGACATCTACTGAGATATTCGGATTGTCTCTTGAAGGTTAAAGGTGAGCCACTGAGTTACAGTGAGCAGGGAAGACATTTCGTTCCTTTCTCAGGTGAGCAAACTGAGGCTCAGAGAAGAAATGTGAGTAGCCCAGTGTTGCAGACAGTCTCTACTCTAGGCCCTGGGATGGGATGCTGGAAGCCCTGTAGAGTCCAGCGGTTCTCAACCTCCTCATATCTTCCGACCATAAAATTATTTTCATTGCTCTTTTGTAACTGTAATCTTGCTACCGTTATAGATTGTAATGTAAACATCTGTGTTTCCCGATGTCTTAGACACCTTTCACAGGGGTCGTTTGACTCTCTAAAGGATGGAGACCCACAAGTTGAGAACCACTGCTTAAAAGCCTTTCTTGTTCAAAAGGGGGCACTGTTTTCCAGAATTTGCTGTAGAATGGTTGAAACCAGTTTTTTCCTTCCTTCCTCTCCCATCCCTCCCCCGCCCCGCAAGTGTGTTACTGCCCTGAGCTTTGGTTACATGATATTATTCATCCCCTCTATAATTTGTGTTTGTGTGTGTGCACACACACACACACACACTTTGATGTGACTAATGACATTTTCCTCCAGAGGCAAGAAGAGAATTTCTAGGGTCTGGTCTCCACCAAAAACATCGTCTCAAGTACTCTGAGGAACAGGTAATAATAGCACTTCATGTACCCCAAAACTACGGGGAACCTGGGGGAATAAAGGGAGATGAACTGTGAGCTGATACTGGGAAGGAATACGAGCTTGACAAGGACTTAAAGGCTTCCTGGATCTCCTGGGGGGGATCATGGGAGGAGCTACTGTTCTGGGATGGACCATCGTGCTGGGACCCTTCTACGAGGACAGCACCAGCCGCAGGGGAAGGTCTCTCCCTCTACCCACAGCCTGCCGAGTCTCTGCCTGGTCTGTGGACTCTCCCAGACCAGTTAGATCCTAGGGACAGCCCTGGCAATGGAGTTCTGTTGGAAAGGTTGGGGTCTGTGTTCCAAATGTATGCATATCTTGCTTTCTGACTAAGCCTCAAACGATGCCATTTAGGCCCATCAGGCCCCAGATGTGCCCCTACAGTTCTTTCTGGCCCAGGCTCGGAGACAGAGACTTCGAGAGGAACACCAGATTTGGATACAGGAAGAGCTGAAACATCTGGAACATCAGGAGGAAGTAGCCTGTAAACAGATCAAAGGCATAGTAGCAGAAGAGGTGAGGAGGGAGGGGAGGAATATGGGGCTTGTGGCTCTTGTACCTAGGCTAGGCACAGTAGCAAGGATCTAGACTCAACCGTAACAGACTGGTCCATATGCCTTATGGGACATAGGAGAAGCCACATTCAGAGCTGTTTGCTTTGATGGGCACAATGAGGTTCACTTTACCCAGGCTGGAAAGGAACAGAGGAGACTGGGCCTAAGTAGAACTCAGGAGAACTAGAGTCAGTGCAGGCATTCACTGTGTTCAGCTCCTTGAGGACAGTTCATGCTCATCACGAAGGTGCTCAGTAAGCAACTGTTTAAGAAATAAAACATGGCCGGGCAGTGGTGGCGTATGTCTTTAATCCCAACACTCGGGAACAGAGGCAGGTGGATCTCTGTGAGTGTGAGGCCAACCTGGTCTACAGAGTGAGTTCCAGGACAGAGAAACACTGTCTAGTAAAAAACAAAGGAACAAACAAAAAAGAAATAAAATATGTACCCATGGAAACAGCTAACTTGGCTCACAGGAACTCACAGTCTGAACTAACAACCAGGGAGACTGTATGAGACCAACCTAGGCTGTCTACACATATGTGAGAGCTGTATAGCTTGGTCAACTTAAAGACTCCCAGCAGTGGGAGCAGGCGCTGTCCCTAATGCTCTGGCTGGCTCTTGGTAACCTATTGCTCATACTGATTGCCTTGGCCAGCCTGAATACAGGGGGAGTCTTACTGAAATGGATATGCCATGTTTTGTTGATACCCATGAGAGGCCTGCTCCTTTCTGAACAGAAACAGAGGAGTGGATTGAGGGGAGAGGGGCAGAGGAGAGGAAGAAGAGAGGAGGAAGGGGCTGTGGTTGGGATGTAAAATAAATAAATTTTAAAAATTGCTTTAAAAAATGTAGCCAAGTACAGTGACACAGGCCTCTCAGGATCCAGCAGGCACAGGCAGGAGGATTGTGAGTTCAAGGTCAGCCTGGACTATAAAAAATACCCCGCCTCATTTCCATCCTCCCCCTATAAAAAAATAAATAAAATAAATTTTAAAAACTGTGTATGTAGTGGGTGGGGACATGTTCTCAGATAAGGCAAAAGTCTATGTGAAGCAGAGGGAAAGAGCAGCCAAACTGGCTCTGGGTCCACAGATTTGTTCTGTCTGGCTAGAGTCTAGCAAGTGTGTAGTCGGAGGCAAGGTTATAGACACAGCGTGTCCTATCTCTGGGTTTGGATCACCCGGTGAGGATGGGGACTGTTCAAAGCATGTGCCATTTCGGTGCTGCCCCTCATTAGCCATGGGCATTCGGCCAATCGGATCCCTTCCCTGGTGCACTATTTGCAAAGCTGTCCTCATAAGACTGACCAGGACAAAATGAGATCATGTACCTGAACTTTTTCCCATAAAGCCTGACACAGGTGGCGCTTGCCAAAAGGTACAACTTTCTCCGCAGGCTTGTGACGAGAGAGAGAGGCAGTGGAAGGAGCTGACAGGGCTGAAACTTCAGGTGGAAGCCCTGCAGACAGAACGGGACGTGGCGGAGCAGGATCTGGTGGCCCTCTATGATTTGTATGTGCAGGCTACCCGAGCTCGGACATGCCACTTGCTGCAGGTCAGTGGAGACGGAGTGCAGGCCTTAAGTTGGTGGAGAGGCTGATGGACCAACAGGCACCTCTGACTCTGAACACAGGTATTTCGAGCCTGGCAGGGGCTGTGGGAGGAGAAAGCCATGGCCACAGAACGCCGTCACCGAAGCCTGCTGGCTGGAGTCCTCCAAGACAACATTGACCTGGCCTTGAAGACCCAGGAGCTCCAGGCCAGGAACCAGCAGCTTGAGCAGAGTGCAGCCAGGGCCGGTTGTGTTGGAGTCCTGTATGGAGAGGAGCCTGATCAGGAACACTATGGGGCTGCCTCCCTTTGTCCTCATTCATGAGGGCCCCAGAAGGGAGAGGAAGGTGGGGCATATCAATCAAGATGGCCCTCATTACAGATAATCACCATCATCACTAATCATGTCTCCTTGTACCAATCTCTGCTAAGCACCCAATACCAATTCAGCTCCTCTGGCTTTGTAGCATTTGACCCTCATTTCAGAGCTAACCTGTCCTAGTAACTGCCAAGGACAGTCAGCTAAGTAGCAAGGGAAGAGTCCTCTTCCCCCTCTTCCTCCTGTCAAGGGATGGAACCCAGAGTCTCTGCATGCCAAGTATCTTCTCTACTTCTGAACTACAGATTTAACTCTGCAACTTTTTCTTTTCTTTCATGAGACTGGGTCTCGTGCAGTCCAGGCTGACCTGGAACTTGCTATATAACCAAGGATGACCTTGAATTACGGGCTCTCCCACCTCCTACTTCAGAGTGCTGGGATTACAGCACGGCACCAGGACAACAGAAGCAGTCTTGTTTTGAAAAGTTCACCCATTGTTCTAGGGAGCAGGGCCTGACAGTCCTCTGGCCAGGACTTCAAAGGACAGACAGCTACAGGTACTAGACGTGAAAGAATCAGAGAGTAAGAGTCAACACAGTGGCTGGGTATGGAGTCTCATGACCATACACTCTGCACGATGGAGTCTGAGGTAGGACTGCTTTCCATCTGAGGACACCTGGGCTATATAATTCATTCCAGGTCGGTATGGACTATGATGTGAAACATGTGTGGCCTGAAGTGTTTTCTAGACTAAGTTGTTCTGCTGAGCAGAGTAGTTTTCAGTCCCAAGAATCTCTAAATGCCTCAGGGCTTGTGATTTTTAAAAAAAGCGATTTTTGTTGTTCTTTCTTTCAGTGTTGGAGATCGAACACAGGGCTTACACATGTAGGCAAGTACTTGTCTTTTTGAACTACAATCTCAGCCCCCCCCCTTTTTTTTGAGACCAACTCTACTGTAGCCTAGGCTGGCCTTTCATAAATATATATAGACACACACACACACACACACACACACACACACACACACACACACACACACACACACACATATATAGCCAGGCAGTGACAGCGCATGCCAACACTCAGGAGGTAAAGGCTGGCAGATCTCTGTGAGTTTGAGGCTAGCCTGTTCTACAGAGTGAGGTCCAGAACAGCCAGAGTTGCTACACAGAGAAACCCTGTCTCAAAAAACCAACAAAATACTTAATTATGTGTTCGTGGGTGGGTATATGAATGCCACGGAGGCCAGAGGTGTCAGATCCCCCTGAGATGGAGTTATGGGTGGCCGTGGCTGCCTGGGGATTGAACTTGGTCCTCTACAAGAGCAGCATGGTCTTATCCACCATGTCAGGCTCACTTGCACTCTTGCTTCTTCTGCCTCCGTCTCCCGAGGAGAGATACAAGTCTGCATCACCACACCCTCAATGCTTCCTTTTCTGAGACTGGGTCTCCTCAAGCAGATCAGCCTGACCTTGAACCCGAGCTCTTCCTGCTCTACCTCCTGGATGCTGGGATCCCAGGTGTGCCTCACCATAACTGGTCAAGACAGTCCAAGAACCACAGAGCTCCCAAGACAAACAATGCCACTGTTTCTCTCCAACTCTAGATGTTAAGAAACTCAGGGAGCCCATCAAAATTCTTCAAAGACCTTAAAAGAACGGTACTCAACTTCATTTGGAAAAGCAAAAAACCCAGGATAACCAAAACAATCCTGTACAATAAAAGAACTTCTGGAGGCATTACAATCCCTGACTTCAAACTCTACTACAGAGCCACAGTACTGAAAACAGCCTGGTATTGGCAGAAGAACAGACAGGAGGACAAATGGAACCGAATAGAAGACCTGGATATCAATCCACACATCTTCGAACACCTGATCTTTGGTAAAGAAGCAAAAAATATCAAACGGAAAAAAGAAAGCATATTTAACAAGTGGTGCTGGCAAAACTGGATATCAACATGTAGAAGAATGAAAATAGACCCATATCTACCACCATGCACAAAACTCATCCAAATGGATCAAAGACCTCAATATAAAGCCAGCCACACTGAACCTTAGAGAAGAGAAAGTGGGAAGTACACTTGAACGCATTGGCACAGGGAACCACTTCCTAAATAGAACTCCAGCAGCACAGACACTGAGAGAAACAATTAATAAATGGGACCTCCTGAAACTGAAAAGCTTCTGTAAAGCAAAGGACATGGTCAACAAGACAAAACGACAGCCTACAGAATG